AAGTTTGTGGCTGGTAATGCAGAAGGTGGGAATATCTGTGGAGGTAATGATGATTCGAAAAGTGAGAAGGTTGGTTTTGTAAGCAGAGAATATTGGGAGTTTGGTTGAGAAGGTTTTGGGAAAAATGGTGGGGGGGTTGGTTGCCATTGCTCTAGTTGGGTTCCTTCAATCGATCTCAACTGATTTTCCAGGCTTTTCTTTTCTGCTTATTTTTGGGCAAAGAGAATGGGTGTTGCAGGACGGTTGTTGAACATTGTGACAAGTTCAATAAGTTCTTCATGGAGTGTTTGGATTTTTTCTTTGATTTCAGCAACCATACTCACATTTTGCTGGATCTGTTTGGGTTGGATTTCTTGGTTGGAGAGGATTTTGGAGGGGACTTTGTTCTGGGCTAATGCATTTTCTGATTGCCAATTCAGGACTGTTTCAGCTGTGAAAATCTGGTCCTTTTGCCCTTGTGGACCAATGGTTGTCGGATTTTTTATTTTTCATGTATGCGTTGTGTTGGTATGTTCAAAGCCTGTGAGTCGAGGGAAATCTTTGGAGCAGTCTTGAGAGGAGGATGAAAACCTGTAGCATTCAGGGGTGGTAATTGGTTCAGGCATGAGCTTTCTTTCTGGATGAGTTAGTTTGAGGGCATTTTGGTAGTAAGGGATTAGGGGTGGCTTGGATTGGCCTGGCTTTCTTGGTGGTTCATGAGGTTGGTAATCTGATGGTTTGGCTTTTGGATGTGAGGTTTTCGGATAGAGTACATAGTGCTCAAAATGACCGGATGCTCCTGGTTCTTCAAGGGTACCAACTTTAGGGTCACCATTCTCATATATTTCTTTCATTGACTGTTGGGAGCTTTTCTTTTTTCTTCTTGGCTTGGGGTCATCCTCTTCATCAGAGAATGAGAGGCAACTAGCACATTTGCATACTGGATTAAACAATTCATGGCCATCTTCTGATTTTTGTTGATATACCAGAGCCTTCATGGGTAAAAGCAAATACCGGAACAATCATGTGCATTTCAGAGGTGGGAAATATTGGTGGCCTTGCACTTAATGTAATAAGGGTGGGAAACTGTATTTCAACACTGCCATCTTGTCTTCTTATAGGACTAGGATTTGAAACTTGTATTGGCTTTTCTTCTGGTACATGAAGCTTTTCATAATCAGTGATCCATTTTTCTGGTAGAAGGGAAATTAGCTCGGACCTGGGAAGGTGCCTTGGCACAAATATACAGGAGGGAGAGACAAGGGTGTCAACATTTATGAAAAGAGCTTCATTGTTATTGATATTGGTAGGACAGAGATATCCATTGCATGGTTCTGGAATCTGTATATCATTTGGTAGGGAAGGGTTGCAATATATGATGATTGTACCATTGGTGCACTAGTAATTTGCAACTGAACTTTCAAGATAGAGAGTAGATGGGAATCAATCAAAGGCATATTAAAGTTTGGGAACAAGGTAATAACCATTGTTCCTGTATTCAATGTTGTTTGGACTGTGCCAATGACAACATGCTCATAATGCTTAAAACGTGTGTCTAGTAGTGCAATTCTAGACACCACTGGCAGTCCTCTTCGGAATGTAGAGTTAGAGCAAGTCTAGCAGCCTCAAAGTAAAGGTGAGTATACTCTTGTGCATGGTATTGGTGGATTATCTCTTTTGGGATTTCCAAGGAGATTTAACTGTTCAGCTGCTGTGGCTGGGATGGGGTGTTGGTCAAACTTTGAAGACTAGATGTATTCTTTTATGGGCTTGGTCTTGGATGGGAATAATTTTTTTTTGTTTTTGTGAACAAGGGTGGAGGGGTTTGGAAACTTGAGTATGGGGACTTACTGCGAGACTTACACCAAGTGAATGGTTAGGATCTGATACCTTACCAAGTGAAAACCCGAAGTGAATACCAAGTGAAAACCCCAAGTGAATGGTTAGGCTATGTTTCTTGTTTCCCCTTCGTTTCAGGATTGTGGATATGGAATAAGGAGAGGTAAGGATAATCAGGGTGCAAGTCTAGGCATGAGAAAGGTATTCCATGGTTAAAGATAGTTGCTTCCAGAAAACTTTTGAAACTTGCGAGGCTTCTGGGACGGATTAGGTTAGGTGTTCAAGGATGATTTCCTTGACATCTTGTGGGATGATTTCTAGGTCATTGGGTAGGTTAAAATCCAACAAAAGCCAACCACCATGGCATTAACCCAGAACATTAGAGCCTCGTGGATGTCTATAGTCGAAGACTTCAGCCTAGTGTACTAGAAGATCTCTTATTTGAAATGCAAAAACTGGGTTTGGAACCAGATGTTAGCTGTGCCTTATTAGTGCATATGAGCGGCTTGAGAAAATAAGTGATCGGGCCATTGAAGCCTTCTATAAAATGCATAAGGCCGGAATTATCTTTCATACATTGCTCTTATACTCGGTTGGGGGTTGGCATGAGAAGGAAATGCCTAGGCTGCCTTTGAGGGTATGAAGATGGAGGGGGTAAATCCATCAATAGAGACATAAGCAGCTCTCTTAGATATGGAAGGGGGTAAATCCATTTAGGACGGTAGTTGACACAAAAGCAATGCTCCAGATATGGAAGTCAATGATGAGAGATCAAATAGAATGCACTCGCGTGACCTTTAATATTTTGGTAGATGGGTTTGCAACATAGTTACCAGGAGCGGGATCCGAAACGGCTCTAGTCCCGGAAATGGGAGCGTCAGATCGACGGCCGCCCAAATCTCTGGAGCTCGGGGGAGCGAGTTCCGGTGACGGTAGAAGTTATGCGTATAAAAGATATCATTAAAAATATTTTAAGAATTAATATCCTACGAACCCATTTTATGTAAAAGTTAAATAAACCATTTTCTATAATTTTATTCTTTTCATTTGAAATGCACAATAAATCTATTTTTAAATTTCATTATAAAAAAGTAATTCAGGTTTGTCATCTATAGCACTAAACAACAATTTACTCCATCAGTAGCGCAAATTTTTTGTGTTGTGTTAACATGTATTTTAAAGCACACACGAGTGAGGGCATCCAATATTTTAAAAATTAAAATTTTGATCATTACGTGCCTATTTAATGCACATCTTAAAAATAAACAATAAAGAAGGTAGTATTTTAATAATAAAAATTATCATTACATGCATTAATGTAAAATTGATCTATTGCTTTTTTAAAAACATATATTTTTGTGAACCCGTATGATCATATTATGTAAAAGCTAAATAAAACAAATGTTTCTAATAATTTTATTCTTTTCATCCTAATCTCTAATGAATAATAAATCTATTTTTATATTTCATTATAGAAGAGTAACTCTGATTTCTCCTTGATGGCACTAAACAGCAATTTACTCCATCGGTAGCACAAACTTTTTGCGTTGTGAGTACCCCGCCTTTTTTTTATTAGAGGTTTCTCATCAAGAAGAAATAAATGGAAAAGGGTACTGAAAGAAAGCCTCTCTATAATCAAGTTATCGAGCTTAAGGTCAATGTCATGGTCTTTTGCAGGTGTAGACCATAGTTATTGGGAGTGCCCAACTAGGGTGGTGCTCCCGCTCCGGAACCCAACTCCGACGCTCTGTGGCTCGGATCTCGACTATAACTCGTTCTATTTTGTTGTTGTTAAGTGCCATCAATGAGTAAACTTGAGTTACTCATCTATAATGAAATATAAAAATAGATTTATTGTCCATTAGAAATTACGACAAAAAGAATAAAATTATTGGAAACAATTGATTTATTTAGCTTTTACATGATATGGTCGTGCGGATTCTCATAAATATGTGTTTTTAAAAAAATTAATAGATCAATTTTGCATTTAATGCATGTAATGATAAATTTTTATCATTAAAATATTATCTCCTTTATTTTTTTATTTTTAATATGTCCATTAAATGTGCATGTAATAATAAAATTTTTAATTGTTAAAATATTGGATGCCCTCACTCACGGTGCGTATTTTAGAATACGTGTTAACACTATACAAAAAAAGTTTGTGCTACTGATGGAATAAATTGTTGTTTAGTGCCACATAGGACATACTTGAATTACCTTTTTATAATGAAATATAAAAATAGATTTATTGTTTATTAAAGATTAAGACAAAAAAATAAAATTTTAGAAAACAATTGGGTTTATTTAACTTTTACATAATATGGTATTGCGGGTTCACAAGAAACATTAATGCTTAAAGTATTTTTAATGATATCCTTTATGCGCATCATTTCTATTTCCATTTCACGCAAAGCTTTTAATGCTTATCTAGCATTTAATGTTGTCATTTCATAAAATATATTTCTTTCTTGAAAGAGTAAAAAGGGAGATTCGAACCTTTTTGAAAAAGTACCTTGAATGGAGTTCAATCCCTTCCAAATAGGAACGTGCTATTCTTAGATGGGGTGCGATTGAATCTTAAATGGGATCTCGTTCTCTATTGTTGATGGAAGCACGATCCTAATGAACATGGGAACACGATCCTATTTTACATAAAACGTGTTCTCGTTAAATAAGGATCTCGATCCCATTGCATCGGGAACTCGTTCCATGTTAAAACAAGATTTCAATCTGTAATTTCTACCCTCATCGGAACTCGTTTCCCGAGCTCCAGAACTTTGGGTAGCCGTCGATCCGATGCTCTCGCTCCCATAATCGAAGTCGTTCCCGCTTCCGCTCCCTATTATAGTATAGACCCATAAACTCTGTAAGAAAAATCAAGTGGCTCATCTTCCATTGTACAATTTGAGCCTTCTCATGAATTAGAATTGCATATCGTGTCTTCTGATTCTTTAAAAAATCATTTCATATTCAACCGTGCATTTGGCCCGAACGACACCCAAAGTCCATTATACCCTTACCTCTCGCTTAGAATTTTATGCTCTCTCTCCATCTTTAATTTCTTATTTTTTCTTAATTTTGGTTTGCTTTTTGCACAGGCGGTCTTTTTTTTTTTTTATGACAAATGTTATCAAATTTTATTACCATCTTAACCATGATTACAACTCGCAACACTCACATCACTCAGTATTTACATCATTCAAAATCGAAATGGAATCCATCGACACCCCTCTCTTAGTCAATCCATCAACAATACCATTAGATTCTCTAAACACATGCTGGCAAGATATCAATAATAGCCCTTCTAAGTCCAAAACTTGGCCCCAAATCGATCGCAACATCCAAGGAACACGAAGTTCCTTATTGCACCACTTTATCGCATTTAAAGAATCACCTTCCACAACAATGAAATGGCCCAAATTCAAGGCTTTAATAAACAGCGATCCTTTAAGCAATGTTGTGAATTCTGCCATGTTAGCTGTTGCCCACCCAATAGGTCCAGCATAAAAGAGAATAATTGACTCAGTCCAATCTTGCACTACACCTCCAACCCCTGCATTCCCATGATTCCCCATAGAACTACCATCAAAGTTTAGTTTCAAACAGCCTAGTACAGGGGGTATCCATCTGCCATTCATACTCGGCCTTGTCCTATTAGAAAAAGCAAGATTGGCTAAATTTAAACACACATCAATCTCAATAATTCCTCTCCCATCTTTGGTGACAAATAACCAATTCCATATAGTATGAAGTATATGTTGTAGAAGACCATCATCAGAAAGCCTTTGTCCTTCAAAAGTACATCTATTCCGCTCTTTCTAAATTTCCCAACACACAGCACCTCTTACAATTTGCCAAATCACAAACCCCACTTTAGGTAGAGCAGAAAACATCAATTGTGAGATGATACCCAAACCACTTTGAAATAGAGTCATCCTAAAGCCAAGCAAACCAAAGAAATAGTTCCTAATACCTGTGGCAAGGCGACAGTGAAGAAATAGATGTGAAATCGACTCCCCATCCTCTTTACACATTAAGTATACATTCGGCAAGATCTTTCCTCTTTTAATGAGATTCTAATGATAAAAACTTGATTTTGCCCAACCAACCACATAAAACACTGAACTTTGTGAGGAATAAACCACTTCTATATTTGGAAAATTTGGGGCAGCGACCATCTATAGCCATCATGTAACAAGAGAGAGTACATTGCTTTTACCGAAAAAAGACCATCCTTATTGTGCTCCCAAACCAACTCATCACCAATATAATTGGATATATACACTTCTTGTAACTGTGATAACAAGCCCGTGATCTGTGCCACCATATTATCATTTACACGGTTATAAAGAAACTGAATATCCCATACCATCTGCTCCCCAACCACCAGATAAGTATCACTTATCAAAGCATTAGGATAAGAAGTCTTAACGAATAATTCACAGAAAGCGATCTTCAAAGGACTATCCCCGAGCCATTTATGATGCTAAAATGAAATTTGTGTTCCATTCCCCACACTCCATCGGATGTCTCTATGGAGATAGGTGGTTTTCTCACAAATCAAGCCCATTGTTATTTCAGTTTTTGATGGTTATAATATGTGTACATATTTGCATGGTCAGACTAACACTTGAAGTTTCCAGTGGAAGGGACACCAGGGTACTGATGTGCCAACTACAAGACATTAGAGGAGCTATTTCGTATTTCTATATAGGGAAAGGCAACCATGAAATATGATCTCTCAGGTGAGCATGCTTGAGGTCTATAATGAGAGGATCAGAGATCTTCTTGTAGAGAATCGAGATGCATCCAAGAAGTAATACTTTTTCCCCCATTTTACTATGTTTTCTTCTCCTTTTGGGTCTATCATTGTTGGGTCCTCTATTTCTATGTAACAATTTATTGAGAAGAATACACATCTATTGTATTGATTTTTGCTTTTTGTTTGTTGTTTTGTTTGAGTGGCTTTTGTGGAGTTGTTGTGCGTGAAGCCCTTGTTTTTTATTTTTAAGAAACTTCATATCTTTGACAAATACCTAGATTTCTTATATATGGTAATCCTATTTTGTATGATTTGAAACCATGTGGATATAAGAAAGGGTAGTATGTGTTCCTCTTGGGTGGTAAGGGTGGTATGTGATTCTCTTGGGTGGTTTCTTTAGGAAGATCCTATTTTTAGGATGATAAGATTTAGACATGGGAATTACGTGAATCTTAGTGAGATGGAATATTTATTAACTCCTATTATATGTAGGAAATCTATAGGTAATAGGAGACCCAATCAAAATAAGAGAAGCAATAACTTTCACGTGGGGCTCTTATGGGTTGTTACTCTTTATAAATAGAGCTTTGTAGAGAGAAAAAATACATATGAAAAAAGGAAGATACAAAATAGAGGCCAAAGGGTTAGATTTCTTTAATCCTTTTGAGTGGGTGTTCTTGAAAAACAAAGACTTTATTTTAGGGCTTGAGAAAGAGCTTGCAATCCCTTGTATTATTCATGCTTTCATGGTGTTTTTTCTGATTAGTGGAATAGAATTTTACTGCCCTGTGGCCATAGGCAACTTGCCGTTGTGTTTATCTCTTCTTTTATTTTTCTGCACTATTTTTTTTCCTTATTTTTGCGCAACCATGGGTTTTATCCTCTACAATTGGTATAAGAGCCTTAGGGTCTTTAAATCCTTGTTGGGCACAAGGTTTGTGGCAGATCGCATATCTTTGAAGTTGGCTGGAGGAAGTTTAATCAGATATAAATTTCAAATTTTAATGGTTCGGATCTCTCAACTTGGAAATTATATATGCATGCAGTGTTGGTGAAAGATGGTTGTGTAGTGTCTTTAAAAGACAGAAAAAATGAACTAGAAAAGATGAGTTATGAGGAATTTGATGAAAATGATAAATTGGTCAGGACGGATATTTTCTTGGTACTTGATGAGTCTATTTTATTCAATCTCCTCAAAAACTTCCACAAAAGATTTATGGGACAGGCTGAAAGATACTAGTCTCTTCCTAATAAAATTTTTCCTCGTCGAAAACTTCATAATCTCAAGATGAGTGATGGTGCATCTTTACAAGGGCACTCAAATGAGTTTAATGCCTTGATTAACAAGTTGATGCCACTAGATATAAAAATTGATGAAAAAGACAAAAAAGCTATTTTACTTTGTTCTATGCCGGAATCTTGAAATGGATTAATTATGAATCTCAATAGTTCAAAATCTCTCGAATTTGATTCCATTATTTTAGCACTTCTAATAAATGAGTCTAGGCAAAAGTCTCATTAGGATTCCTCTGTGAATGTGTTTGTAGCATTTGGAAGATCAATGGAGAGAACTATGGAGAAGTTTTGTATGTGGATGGGGAGGGAATTTTACAGTATTGGCTACTTGATTCAGGTACATCCTTTCACATGACTCCACATAGGGATTGGTTCTATAGGTACTAAACATGTGATAGAGGTATTGTTTACATGGGAAATAATGACTCATGTAAAATAGTGGGAGCTAGAGATGTGATAATCAATATGTGGAGGCATATACAACATTCCGTGTATCAAACGTGTTCTAGGTCCCAAAAGGAGTCTCTTGTCCTTGGAAAATTTTGATGAGCGAGGTTTCAAGTATATAAGTGTAAATAAATATATGAAAATTTCAAAATGAGCACTAGTGGTTACAAAAAGAGAGTTAGCAGGCAATTTGTACTGACTTGTTGGATAAACAGTTTTTGGAGAGGCTGATATTACAGAGTTAGACTCTGTCATGACATGGCAAGCATGTTTGGGTCACATGAGTTAGCGTGGACTCAAAGTACTTCTCGGGAAAAATATTCTCCCTAGTTTAAAATCTTTTAATTTAGATTTTTGTGAGTCATTCTTATTTGAAAAGCAGAACAAATTGTGCTTTGCTTTATCCACAGTTAAAAGTAAGGATATTTTGGAATTGATTCATTTGGACACATGGGAATCACCTATTGTTTCTAAGGGAGGTGCTGCATATTTTGTCACTTTTATTGATGATTTTTTTCAAAAAAAGTATTGGTTTATATGCTGAAAAAGAAACTAGATACCTTCAGTTGTTTCCAAAAATTAAAGGCATTGGTAGAAAATTAGAAAGGTAAGATCATCAAATGTCTAAGAATTGATAATGGGGAAGAATTTTGTTCTGTTAAATTTAATAATTTTTGTAGTGAACATGGTATTGCTAAGCAGTTGATAGTTCCTGGAACACCTCAACAAAATAGTGTTGCTGAGATGATGAATCATACCAATATGGAGCGTGTCAGGTGTATGTTGAGTGCTGCCAGGTTAGATGAATGTTTCTTAGCAGAAGCAGTTCGTACAACTTGTTTCCTAATCAATAGGTTTGGATAGAAAAACTTGATGATTATTATTTCCCTCATGTTTTTTATTGTGATACATATCATTTGACTCCAAATGAGAAAATAACTAAGGTGGATGAAAAATCCAAGAAGTGTGTTTTTCTTGGCTCTGTTGATAGTATAAAGGGGTACAGATTGTGGGATCCTACTGACCACAAGGTTATTTTTAGCCATGATGTTATTTTTAATGAAAATTCCTTGCAGAAAAAGAAAAAGATGAGTCAAACGCAAAAATTGTTAAGGTAGAATGCACATATGACAACCAGCGAGATAGTGGTCAAGACCAAGAACCTGAAATTGTTCAAGAGCTTAAAGAATATTTAAGTGATCTTAAATTAAGAAGATCTGATAGACCTAAAAAAGCTCATGTGAGGTTTAAAGATTATGTCTTATCTTATGCTTGCCCAACATAGGAGGGTGAGCCAGTTTCTTTTCGTGAGGCATGTGAGGTCAATGTAGCCGGTTGATGGAGAGCATCTATAGAAGAAGAGATGGAGGTCCTGCAAAAAAATAAAACATGGGACCTCATCGAACTACCAGATTTTGAAAAGGTAGGAGAAAGGTCTTCAAGAAGAAGAAAGGTCCTGATGAAACTATTGAAAGGTACACAGCTCGATGGTTGTGAAAGGTTATGCTCAAAAATCAGGTATTGATTTTGATGAGATTTTTCTCATGTTGTGCACATGTCCACTATTTGAGTTGTTTTGGCTATGGTTGATGTTCTTGATTTAGAGTTGGAACAATTAGTTGTGAAAACTGCATTTTTGCATGGTAACCCAACCTGAGGGTTTTATTGATGAACATAAAGAGAATTTGGTTTGTAGGTTCAAGAAATCAATTTACAGGTTGAAACATATGTTGAGGTGTTGGTATAAACAATTTGACTCTTTCATATTGAGCTTGAATTTTTGTAGATGTTAAGCTTACCATTGTGCCTATTTTTGTGGCTATGGTAATGGAAACGTTATTATCTTGTTATTATGTTTTGATGATATGAATGTTGCAAGACCAAACAAAGAGAATATTACAACACTTAAGCTCAGTTGGCTAGGAAATTTGAGATGAAAGATTTGGGAGTTGTTAACTGAATTTTTGGGATGAGTGTACTTAGAGACAGGAAGAATATGAATATTAGGTTAACTCAAAAGAGTAATGTGGAGAGGGTTCTGTGGCACTTCAATATGCAGAATGTTGAACC